TTTATTGGCAAGGCATAAAGTAAATCCGGACTGGCTCTCTGGGCCAGGGGAGCCCTCTTTTATGGGATTCCCCTGGCTTGTAATCACACAATTCCATTGGTTGGCAAGACCCTGTTGCTAGTTAGCCAACCAGCAACGGGCATGAAACTGTATGCAGATGGTGAAGGGCAATCACCCTTAATGGGCGATCAATGGTGAAGGGCAAACACCCTTAATGGGTGATCAGGATATGCATAGGGGATTAAGGGGGGGGGGAATACAAAGAACACAACATATAGTATAGGGGGTACCTTGCTCAATAGTAGTAACTGTGAGAGGGACCTCGGAGTCCTAGTGGACAATCACTTAAATATGAGCCAGCAGTGCGCTGCAGCTGCCAAAAAGGCCAACACAGTGCTAGGCTGCATTAACAGAGGGATAGAATCAAGATCACATGAAGTATTAATACCATTTTACAATGCCTTGGTAAGGCCACACTTGGAATACTGCATCCACGATGTAAAAAAGATGTTGAGACTCTAGAAAGAGTACAGAGAAGAGCAACAAAGATGATTAGGGGACTGGAGGCTAAAGCATATAAGGAAAGGCTGCTGGAATTGGGTATGTCTAGTTTAATGAAGAGAAGGATGAGGGGGGACATGATAGCAGTGTTCCAGTATCTCAGGGGCTGCCACAAAGAAGAGGGAGTGAAGCTATTTTCCAAGGCGCCTGAAGGCAGGACAAGAAGCAACGGATGGAAAGTAATCAAGGAGAGAAGCAACGGATGGAAACTAATCAAGGAGAGAAACAACCTAGAACTAAGGAGAAACTTCCTGACAGTTAGAACAATTAATAAGTGGAAAAACCTGCCTCCAGAGGTGGTGAATTCTCCAACACTGGAAATTTTTAAGAAGAGACTGGATGGTATAGGATTTATTATTATGAGCTGAAAATGACATACTCTGCATTGGACATGGGAAGAAGCATCTTTAATTGTCTGTCCATTGAAGTCTCTTTTAACCTGTGATTTTCTGACTGTATTAAGTCTGGGTCAATTCTGATTAGTTAAGATTCAAAGGAATCTTTGAAAATTTGAGGTATAAAAGGGATTGCTTCAGACTCAAGGGAGATTTTCATATCAACAATGGTTCAGGCTCCCCTACAGAGTAAAATCATAGTCCTAGACTAAGTCAGTGGGTACTTTTTCAAGGTTTTGTGAATGTTGGAAAAAGAAGGTCCATAGTATGTCTTTTTCTCATAAGGAAAGTGGCATACAGTATATAGATAGACATCTCTATACAAATGTTTTGGGTGCATTAAAGAAATCCCTTTAGTCAAGGTTATGGATTAGAAGTCATAGTGGTGTTAACCCCCATATTGCCTTGTGATCTGATAATTAGAATTAATTTTACAACTATAAGTGATTGGGTTCAAAGAGAAGGGATCGTGGAAGATTAGGGTAGCAGGAGTAACTACTACAGCCTAATTTAAAGGAAAAGTGGAGAAGGAAGAGATCCAAGAGGAAAAAAATGGAATTTTCACCAACCATGAAGGTTTAATAGGAGAAGGAGAGCCTAAAAAAGAAAAGGCTGTGATGAATATGGATAAAGCCTGCGGAAAAATTGAAGGGAAAATTATTCTCAAGTGGGAGGTTAATATACAACAAATCCAGAAGATGGAATCTCCCTTACAACCATGTTGTGATTACAATTATTCTGGGGGGGAAACTATTTTTTGTATGTACAGTATGACACAAACATTTGAAAACTGCAACTCAACAAACATATACAAAAGTGCAGAATTTTTATATATTTATTGTTACATTTTTTATTTAAGAATGAACAGGTTAACATCCTTTGTTTTGTTTTCCAGTACAAAAACAAGTATTTTAACCTAAAGGAGTATGAAACTCGATAGTAGAATTCATATTAAACCCGTCTTTCATATTTATTCTCTGCCATTACATTGTCCATTTTCTAATTCCCAGAGTGAAAATTTTTGAAAGAGCAACTTTGATGTCCTTGTTTCTCATGCTGTATATTATTGGGTTTAACATGGGTGGAATAATGGAATAGGTTATTGTAATAGTAAAATCAAAGTGTGATGGTTTGTCTGGTCGAGGAATCAAGTAAGCAAATGAGGAGGCAACCAAAAATATGGAGAAAACTGTGAGGTGGGGAAAACAAGTAGAGAAGGCCTTTTTCCTTCCCTGAACAGAAGGGATTCTTGAAACAACAGAGAAGATCTGTGCATAAGTAATAGTGATGAAAATAAAGCAACCAAATAGTAATATCATAATAAATATAATATATCCAATTTCAATTACATATATATCTGAGCAGGCAAACTTAAGTAATTGTGGGATTTCACAATAGAACTGATTGATTGTATTAGAGCAGAAATGATTAGTGAAAGTGCCAATAGTATGCAACCCAGCATTGATGAGGCTGACAATCCATACACTGCCAACCATTTTGTTACAGAACTTTTTGTTCATTATCATTTCATAATGCAAAGGATTGCAAATGGCAACAAACCTATCATATGCCATCATAGTAAGGAGGGCAATATCACAACCCATAAAGAAGGCAAACAAGAGGACTTGAGCAACACATCCTGAATAGGAAATATACCTGATATTCATCGCCAAATTGAAAACAGCTTTGGGGATGATGACTGAAACAGAACCAACATCTTGCAGAGCTAAATTCATCAGGAAGAAGTACATGGGGGAGTGAAGGTGTGAATCTAAAGAAACCACAGAGATGATAAGAAAATTGCCTATTATTGTCATTAAATAGAGTACCAGTAACAAAGTTAAGTACATAATCCGTATTTCCCATAACTTTGAGAATTCCAAGAGAAGAAACTCTGAAGTATGATTATCCATTTCTGGTCTCATATATGATAGATCTGGAAGATAAAGTAGAAACTGTTAAAATATTTCTGATTCATTTTATGTTTACATACAAAGTTGTACACTTTCAATTAAGAGTTCATTAAAATTATCCTTCAAAGTTATTGAAGAGTTTTAATAGAACCTTGCATACCTGCCCTTACATTATGATGTTTTTTCTCTAAATTTGGTATATAAAGTATTGTTTAGTAGATATTATATTAAACTATATTATATTAAGTCAGAATATCAGCAAATAGCCCGAGCCTGCAAAGATGAAGTGAGGAAAGCTAAGGCTTTGAACTAATGAACTAAGGCTTGTGACCAAAGTCAAAAATAACAAAAAAAGCTTCTTTCAACATATACAAAACAAGAAAAAAGTGAAGGAAATGATTGGTCCATTAGTGGGTGAAAGTGGCAAGAAGGTGACAAGCAATAGGGAGAAAGCAGAACTATTTAATTCATTTTTTGCATCTGTCTTTACACAAAGGAAAAAAACAGACCAACCTATCAAAAATAGTGCCTTAAAAAACAGAATAAAAACACAAGTTAAGATAGGCAAGAAAATGGTAAGTGAGCACCTGTCCAGCCTAGACGAGTTCAAATCACCAGGACCAGATGGATTACACCCCAAGGTTCTCAAGGAACTGGCAGATGTGATCTCAGAACCACTGAACTATATTTTTCAAAGATCCTGGAGCACCAGGGAACAACCAGAGGACTGGAAAAGAACAGATGTAGTTCCCATCTTCAAAAAAGGGGAAAAATGGATCCAGGAAATTACAGACCTATCAGCCTGACCTCAATAGCTGGGAAGATTTTGGAAATGATAATCAAACAACGAATCAGCAAACACCTAGAGGCAAACAAAGTCATTACTAAAAGCAAACATGGGTTTGTCAAAAACAAATCATGCCAGATAAATCTTATTGCATTCTTTGACAAACTGACAAAATTAATGGATCAGAGGAATGCTGTGGATATAATTTACTTGGACTTCAGTAAGGCATTTGATAAAGTAGATCACAACCTACTGCTTGATAAGATAGAAAAATGTGGATTAGACAGCATCACCACCAGATGGATTCGTAGCTGGCTAATCGGCCGTACTCAGGGTGTGGTCCTCAATGGAACCACATCTACATGGAAGGAAGTGTGTAATAGGGTGCCCCAGGGCTCTGTTCTGGGCCCAGTGCTCTTCAACATCTTCATCAATGGTTTCAACGAGGGGATAGATGGGGAACTCATCAAATTAGCAGACGACACCAAGCTGGCAGGAATAGCCAACACTCCAGAAGGCTTAAGATACAGGAGGATCTGGACAGACCTGAATACTGGGCGCTAATTAAATGGTGAAAAAATAAGGTTCTACATTTAGGCAAGAAAAACCAAATGTACAGGTATAGTATAGGGGGTACCTCTCTCAATAGTAGTAACTGTGAGAGGGACTTCGGAATCCTAGTGGACAATCACTTAAATATGAGCCAGCAGTGTGATGCAGCTGCCAAAAAGGCCAACACAGTGCTGGGCTACATTAACAGAGGGATAGAATCAAGATCACGTGAAGTATTAATACCACTCTACAATGCCTTAGTAAGGCCACACTTGGAATACTACATCCAGTTTTTGTCACCGCGATGTAAAAAAGATGTTGAGACTCTAGAAAGAATACAGAGAAGAGCAACAAAGATGATTAGGGGACTGGAGGCTAAAACATATAAGGAACGGTTGCTGGAATTGGGTATATCTAGTTTAATGAAGAGAAGGACAAGGGGGAACATGATAACACTGTTCCAATATCTCAGGGGCTGCCACAAAGAAAAGGGATTCAAGCTATTTTCCAAAGCACCTGAAAGCAGGACAAGAAGCAATGGATGGAAACTAATCAAGGAGAGAAGCAACCTAGAACTAAGGAGAAACTTCCTGACTGTTAGAACAATTAATCAGTGGAACAACCTGCCTCCAGAAGCAGTGAATGTTCCAATACTGGAAGTTTTTAAGAAGAGACTGGACAGCCATTTGTCCGAAATGGTATAAGGTTTCCTGCCTGAGCAGGGGGTTGGACTAGATGACTTCCAAGGTCCCTTCCAACTTTATTATTATTATTATTATTATTATTATTATTATTATTATTATTATTATTATTATTATTATTATTATTATTATTATTATTATTATTATTATATGGCAGCATTTTCTCATCTTCAGCTGAGTTTTTTTTCTTTCTATTTTGATTTGTAGATTTCTCCATAAATGGAAACAGAAGACCTATCATGAAATGTTTAAATAGGAAATTCAGTATTTTTTTTAAATTAAATTAAAGCAAAAAGAACTCTCTTGTATTAATCCTGCAAGCAAGGAAGAAATCCAAGAATCTCAGCAGCGAGTGTTTATCTTGAGGTCTGACCATCAGAACTAAAGATGAGGGATTGAGTATATTCCCCTTGGCTTTTCTAGCCATCAAATTACAAGGAATACGTAGTCTTTTCCTCAAAAAGTACAAGAAAAAAAAAGAGGCTCTAACTAAAGCACTCCAATTTTAAAGAATGGAGAAGAAAGAATCAGGCATCTACTTGGTTCTCCATGCCACCAAAAGTCCTTCCTTAATGAAAGAATAAGAATCTTCTCCAAATGACTGCTCTTCTCAGATATACCTTGGAAACAGACTAGAGATTCTGAAGATGGGTTTCAAATTTGAAGCTCAAAAATCTATTTATAACAATATATTTCTTATATTTTATCTGGTTTAATGCTTTGAGTGAAATTGTAAAAGATGAGAGGTTGAATCTTAGAAGTCATCTATGGGGGGACTGGGCAAACAAATGAATGAAACAAAAACACCAAAAACAGTAAAACAGCAAAAATAAAACTTTAGAAAAGGGGAATAAGAATTATAGAAAAGCAAATCAAAAAAGATATTTACTTACTGTGCTGATTTTGTCTGAATTTTATGTCATTAGATGTGCATTTTCATCTTTCATTCCTCCTTTAAAAGATGACATTATGTGTGATGTTTCAACTATTGTTATTGTATTTAAATGATTTTCTGAACTGAAAGATTAACTGGTCTTCATTGGTATCTCAGAGACTTTTTCAATTCCCAGGAGTCCTGCACAGATAATGAGATTAAAATATAACTCAGAGATTGTTTTTTATTCATCTGTGTGTTTGCTTTTCTTTTTCTAATAAACATAAGATGGTAATAATTACTTTTATGTATAGAATTCAGAAGATTGCTTGATCCAGGGAAAGTCCTCCAACCTGACAGGAGAAAGGCTGGCCACACTATACCCCCACCCTCCCATAGATGGAACCGGCAAATTCAACTCTAATGGGGGACAAAAATATATTGAAATGAGGTTAAAAATACTACAGTCTGGATAAATTTGAAAATTAAGAAAACTGCTAAAACTTCATACCTGAAAAAGTATTGATGAAATTATATATATAAAATAATAATAATAATAACTCTTTGCTTTAAAAGTTGGAAAATGAACAGTGACATCTAGTGGAGGATTAGGAAAAAACTATAGCTGCATTGACTCAGAATTTGGCAAGACACCTAGAAATAGCAAAAAAAAAACAAAACAAAAACCCAGCTAGGAATAAAGCATTGACCTATCTACTACACAGTGAAGCTATATATGTTTAGAAACTGCTGGCCTTCTTGAGTTATAAATACACTGAGCTGCATTATTAAGTTTAAGAACTTTGCAGAGAAAGAAAAACCTTGGCCTTTGGCTAATCTTCTGAAGGGGAATTCTGGAAAGCTTTCAGGTGGTTAAACACTTTGGACTGAAATCTTGGCTGGCTGCTAATTATAAGACCCCTGAAAAGAAGAACTGTTACAAAATACTGTTTTCAGTGGTGCCTTGATAAATTGGAAACATATTGGATTATAAAAACCATATATAAAGATAAGAACTACATAATACTTGATTGTTTGGATTTTAAGACAGGCTGGTTTGATAAAGCTAATTAAAGAAACTATGGTACCGGTATATGCTGTATATATGCTGTATATTTATTCAAAAGTGATAGAAAACCACATCTAATATCTTCTCTTGAAGACCCCAGTTTGGAACATCAGAGTTCTGCAGGAAAAATGACTCAAGACAAAGCAAACACATTCCAGGAGAAAATATATGCAATGCTGTGACAGATTCAATTGACAATTGTTTTAAATAATGATGAGATTAGAAACAACTTTGATAACATAAATGAACATATCTCTAACTTAAACTTACAATTAAATAATGCTCAAAAATGACGACAAAGAATGAACAAACAAGTCAGATAGTAGAATACAAACCAGAGGAAAGTGACTCAAATATGAAAGCTACAAATGAAGAGAACTACAACTTAATACAAACAAAAGAAAATCTGCAAAATTTTGTACAACAAAGGAAATTAAAAAGATGTTTTATCTTCCAGAACCTCAAAACAAACTGGTGGGCAAAAAAGAAGATTTAATAAAATGGATTAAAGAGCTGTCAGGAAAATCATCAAAGTGTGGAAGACAAAAAACAAATATTCTACTCAACTTGTCTTTTTTATCACCGACAACATCCACAAAAATACAACCTAGCAAGCTAAACCTACTGATTTGGAAAGCGACCTGGCAAAAGAAGAAGATTAGAGTTAGAGTTAAGAGATGTGATTCAGCTTACAAGATGGAATATTATATGACTAAACACTTGTTTGAATACGGTTAAAAAAATATAAAGTTTGGATATAAAGAGGCCCTATAGTAAGATTACTAGATGGTGTACTATATGATTAAATACTTGTTTGAACATGGCCAAAAAAACAGACAAAGCTTGGACATAAAGGGGCTCTATAGTAAGAGGAATAAGATATATAAGTAATATAATACTGTTATAATGTATGAAATGTAAAAATATTGAGACGGTGTATTTGAATGAAAAGTTTGGATATTCAAAGGTAACTTTGAACTTTGAGAAAATCATGACTGATGAGTGGTTTGAATATTG